AGTGCAATGACTGTGAGTAAAGCTCTGTTAAACTGCAGTTTTGATGAGACCAAGAGATCATACAGTGCGATTAAGACAATCAAATACACCACAAGACAGTCAAGGATACAGATCTTTTATTAGTATTTGGTCTGGGACATAACTGACGACATTGGAACTGTTGTGAGCTGCAACTTGCCTTTCTACATCAGGGTGAGTAAATTCCTTAATTCCTCCCTGTCTGCATTCTCAGTTTGCAAAATGGTTTTGAAAATGTGAGACCATCCTGGCTGTGCTTATACCGCTTGAAAGAGTAAACTTCAGACAACTGAAGGCAGGACAAGCTGTGGCTCCTTTCACACCTTTCACACCATCTCCCCACCTCCCAAGACAGCAGCAGTGTAGGTGAAGCCCATAGAGTGCTTGTCCCAGGGGCCTCTGAAAGATACATGCTGGCTGCCCTGAGCTGAGCTGGCTTTCTCTCTGATGGAAGAGAGCCTTCTGTGACTGGCTGCTGAATATACCAACATTTTTGCTGTCAGTTTCTCATCTCAGGTTCCCTACTCTTTATGAAGTCCCTGTCATAAGGCCCAATATAAACTGCGCACAGAAGGTGTTTGCAGAAAAATGTAAAGTCTTGTAGTATCCAAAACCAGTCCTGAAATCTCTTGCATGCAATTTCCTGGCACCTAATCTATGAGATCCCTAACAGATACAACCAAATGAGGCATTATCTCCTGTATTAGACCAGCCGGTAGAGCTGCAGAAAACAAGCAAGCTTTCGGCACAGAAGCCTTTCTTACCATTTTAGGAAAAAACTCCTAATTCGGAGTAAAGAAAGGCTTGTGTATCCCAGACAGAGGCATCTGCCTGAGCCCAGAGGAAGGGCTGTGTGCCCAAGGCTACCAGTGCTGCTCGATGGGTTTTGCTGCTGTATCAGTCAGCCTCACAAAAGGTATTGTGTCTTCTTCAAAAATTGCTGCATCTATATCCTTAGACTATCACAATTACAACAGTGTTACCATTTGTATAAAATAACTCCCTAAATAATCCCACAAACAGAGAGCAATTTATTCACTGCTTCGGTCACCTTTTGTCTTTCAGTGAATGTAATCCTGTTCCCTATTGCCTATGTCTCCATCCCATGGATGCTAAGGGAGCATCACAGGAAATTAAGTTTCTTTTTGGAAACCCACCTTCAGTGATAATGAAGGGTTTGTTTTCCTCCCTCCTCCAAATAGTGGTCTGTTTAACCTTCAGCATTTTTAGACAATTCTTGCATTAAGGAGAGGAAGAAAGAAAGAAGGGAGGAAGATAGGAGGGAACAGTAAGGACTGTGCTACCAGGGCTCGTGGTTTATTTATATAATGCGTGCTGTGCAACAGTCCATCTAGCCCATTGTGGTCTTGCCAAAAGTAGTCCTAAAAGATTGCTCAGAGTAGAGTAAGAACAGGACAAGTATGTGCAATGCCTACCTCTAATGCTCTTCCAGACATCAACTATTTCCAGCCTGGGGACTTTCAGGGCTAGATATAGCTTCTATGCATTTAATATTTCCTCAGTGAACTTTTTCCAGCTTCCTTTTTAATGTCTACCTCTTTTGGTTGATACATTAGTTCCAGATCTCGCAGTGGAACCTATCACCTCCTTACTTTACATGTACATACGTCGAATTTCATCTGCCACTTTGTTGCCAGCTGAGTTTTGTGAGAAGTCTTCCTGCATCCCACAATTAACCCTACTGCCTTAAACATATTCGGGTCATCTACAATTAATCTTTGTCATTGATTGAACTATAGTTGTCTATGAACATGTTGAACAGTAACAGATCTCCTAATAAAGTTTTCTATCTTTTCTGTTCTACAGTAACTACCTAATCACTGTATTTTAGATGTCTGGTCTGCTGCTAAACCAGAATACATATGGCGGTCAAAGTAAAAGGTGGCAAAGAGTATGTAAGAAGGCATGCAAACATGGGAGCAAGGTGAGATGACAAGTTTGATATGAACTAGGCTCTCTCCCTGTACTTCCAAGGATAACTTCTGCAACTTCGGAGTGCATCTAACTACCTGGGGTCAGAAAAAGAGCATTCTAGCCTGATTATTGGGAAAAAAAAAATCTTGAGGAAACCTAGTTCTCCACCTTCTGAACTGGTCTGCACACCCTCTGGGCTTACAGAGTGACAGAAGCTCAAGTCCATTGAGGGATCCACAAAGCAGCACAGCCGGGCCAGCCTGGGTCTGCACCTTAACACAGCTGCTGCTCACATGTGCTGAGCTGCTGAGACTCTTTGTATGCTCTGCGTGACAGCAGAGTCCCACTTCCCTGCCACATGCAGTTGCCAGGAGAACAGCTTTGTGGTGATGTGCTAACATGCTCTTCTCACTCAGAGTCAGAAGGTGCCTTGCCCACAGCACCCCGGCAGAGACCTTCCTGGGTAGCGTGGTTGCAATGGCTGGGCTCCCACCATTCCTTGCCTCACATGTACGGCATGTCCCCTCCCTTCTCCATCCTGAGCTCTTCTCCATTGCTGGCGATTATGAGCTGAAAAATTCTCCCTGGCAGCTGGTTTCAGCGGAGCTGGAAAAGCTCTAGACAAGAACATCGTACCTCACTGGCTGGCATCCCACAAGTGTGTGCGTCTGATTCTAACTTTTTTTTCCCAGGCAGCTCGTTTTCCTTTCCTTCCCACCCCCAGTCCAAAAGAAAAGTCGTCAGAGCTTGTTCTACCTAGCTGGTCACTTAAACAGACACCAGCCGTGCTCACAGCCCAGACGCATGAATGCTTATGTAGGGACAAGCCTAACACCCGTGTTCTTTATCAGGATACAAAAGGTATGTTGTACTTGCTGTGCTGCCCCACTCCATTGCCACCAGTGGTAAGTGCCATTTACTATCAAATGCCCTGTTCTCATCCTCACTACCCTCCATGTCCTCTGCTAGCCTTTGTCAAGGATCCTAGTCAGGGTAAAGTATTCTCCTGGGCACAACAATTACACTGGCATTCCTGGGAGTGAAAAGTCCTCTCAGGCAACCAGTCTTATTCTGGAGAGCAAGGACATACAGAAGATATATAGAGAATATAAGGATTGCAGGGGGGCAGGTTTTGGACCAGTATTCATTTCTTGGTTCCATATGCACTGCTGAAACAGAAAGCAGAGCCCTTGCCCTGGGATGCCTTAAGGATTGCATCCATCTAAACTCTCCATATAGCTGAGGTTTTAAAACTATTGGACCAGAAGAGAAGACAGGGTGGGCCTGGGAGGCCCTTCAGGAGGGGTGACAAGTCCTGGTTTTCCCAGGGAGCCTGTGGTGCTGCAGGAGGCAGCTAAGGGACTGGGTGCCTGGGCAGAGCTCACCATGACTCCTGGGGGCTGGAGCAGAGGAGCATGGCTGTGCCTGCAATCACGGGAGGTTTCTCCAGAGGGTCAAACTTGTAAAGGTGTTAAGCCTAAATCCTGCTCTATTTTCGTGTTAAATGATCCACTTCAGGCTATTCCAGAGTTGCTCAGCAACTCTTTTGTCAAAGCAGCTGGTGTGATGTCTGCACCACCCTGAAGGCATGAAGCCTGCAGGGAAGCTCCTCTCTGCAGTATCAGGGACATCTTTTTCACCTCAGCTTCTGTGGGAGAAAAGAACAAAGTAATTTTGGGAACTGAATAACAACAAGTTTTGTCTCTCCAGGAATAGTGTGCAGATATCCTGACTTGCTACCCTGAGGAGAGGACTCACACTCAGAGCCACAGCCATCCAACGCTTACCCTGCACATAAACCCAAAGGAGGTGTTCACAGCCGTGTTAGGGGGACTGGTCATCTCTGGCTGGTCCAGGACTGAGTATACTGTTCAGAGTGGTACCAGGTGGGTTCCCCTGGAAAATAAAAGAGGAACCCCACAGGTCTCTGGGCCTTGCGCTTTCAGGGGAACAGATAGGTTTGCAAAGCAAGAACTCACCACATGGAAGGACAGACAGGTCCTGAGGAAAACTCCTGAGGAAGAACAAACACCACAAAATCCCGAGTTTCTTCTACCAGCACCAAAGAAAGGCTGGTACTGGCAGAGGTCAAACAGAGCTAGTTCTGTGGGTGGCAGGTTCACTGTGTTTCTCTGTGCTAAATAGGAATTTTGTGGATCAGGGTTAAGAGGAGTATCTGGTAGATACAAAAGCACTCTTGAGTCCAGCTGATTATTTTAATGCAGCATAAAGACTGCGACAGACACAGGTACTTGCGTCCAGATAGACATAGGACATGCACAGTGGTATTTGTCTAGACTCATAAAGCAATTTGAGATTTCTTGAGAGCTATTACATTGAAAGTCTTGACAAAGCTCTGAATTACAAACCCGTTTTCTTTACATTTCTAAATAAAATAACAGCATCACTTAGTGAAATCATTTCAAGCAATGTACCTAGACTCAGACTGATCTCTGTATGACTGTAGTAAAGTTAAACAGGGCATAACTCTAACTCTCAGACTCCTTTAGTAAATCAAGATAAGCTATAGCTATGTTTCTTTCCAATGCTTAAGCAATATAACAATTAAGAATTGTTAGCACTGTTTCTTCCTCTCTAGATTGAAAGAACCAAATTAGGACATTTCTACCTGCTAGGAAAGAAAAATAAAATTTAACTACGTTCTTTCCTTCCAGTGATGTAGTGATATTAAAAAAAAAAAATACCCCAAACTAAATCAAAACAAAACAAAACCATAAAATAACACTAGTTGTTTGGTAAATAAAAACTTAGGTAACCATGCCTGCTCTACAGGTAGAAAGAAAAAAAAGTAGTTTCTTCACTGCTCTACACTGGAGTAGATGAAATCCATTTACCCATGTTTCTACTTGGCTACCCCATGGCTCTCCATCTTGGCCTTATATTCAAAACATATTCAGATATTTTTACTACAGACATTTATTCTTCTATTCTGTGGCTATAAGTACACCACACATGAATTTAGGTACAACAGTAGCACTGAATTTCACAAGGAATGGGAAAACTGACAGAAAACTCACATTACTCACCACTAAGTCTCTTCCAAATGATCTGGCAAAAGCCTTCCACATTTTATGTCACTAAATAAACAGAGAAGCCAAACGTTTTGTAGTTTCAGCCACTAGGGACCCCCAGCCACGTGAATGTTCCTGGAATGTCATTTGACTGGTTATACCAAATGTGTTTTTTTCTTTGTCCCTGAATAGAGCTTCTCCTTTAAATAAAATAGTAAAAAAGAATCATCACTCTTTTAAAAAAATCTTCTAAAATGAACTATTAAAATTTTACTCTTTTGTGTGCTTTTGGGGACGTTTTGCTGAATGGAAAACGAAATAGAAAATCCCCTACAAAGCAGAAAACACTAGGGCAAGGGGATGCCACGGACAAATGACTGGAAATCATCTATCAATCATATCTGAACTGATGCATCTTCCTAAAAATGCACTAAGAGTGGAAAAATAATAATGGAAACTATCCCGCTCTGTACAAATCTGTAGGGAAAAAAAAAAACAAACCAAACCCACACCACCACCAAACCAAGAAGTAATCTCCCCTTTAATTATACCTGCAGCAGGAAAAGCAAGGTGTAGTGCTTGCTGCCTGTGCCATGTGAGCAGTGATTTAGAAATGGTTCACCAATAGACTCCAGACCATCCCACATATGTGCACACATTATCCACTGTGGTGCTGAAGTCTTTCCCATTACAGAGTAAAGGGAGGTGATAGAGCTTCACCCTATCCCCATTTAGATCCTGGCCCTCTCTGAGCCACACCCTCCCCGCCCTCCCGTACGTGGGAAGCCGGTGCTTGCCACAGGGGAATGACCTAGAGGCTGATCTTCCAAAGCAGGAAGATGGGAAGGTCCCCAGTTAAGAAAACATTATAGGAAATTCACATCTGAAGAAAATGTTAAAGATCCATTGAAAGAAAAAGGACTGAAAGAACGTTTTTTTAAAACCCCATTAGCTTCAATGAGAAGTAATATGTGATTAAAGGTAAGCACATAATTTTGTGAATAAGAATTTTTTAATGACCCTTAAATCTACAGCAGTCTCATCAACATTATCTAAAGTGGTGGAAACAGAAATTATTTCTGGTAATCTGAGGCTAAATTACTTGAAAATTAAACTGTATGATAAGTAAGGGACAACGTTAACATGTAATTTTCTATACAAGTTAAAACTTAATTCTCTATACATGTTAATATAATTCTCTAACATGTATGTTAGAGATCTACAGTTTCCTCTCTTTCTGTCAGTCAAAACGGAACCTAAATCTTCACCTCACATAAACAAAAATCCTTAAGGGTCTTTATTATTGCTAAACTACTTGAAAATTGAACTTTATGATCAGCAAGGGACAATGATTCATGTTAGAGATCTCTAGTTCCCTCTCTTTCTGTCAGTCAAAACTGAACCTAAGTCTTCACCTTACACACACAAAATCCCTCAGGGTTTTTATTATTGCCCATTTTTATTACTTTATTTGTAGTTTTTATTTTCTTCTTAAAACTAGGTAGAAGTTACCTAATAACTATATTTGCCCAGATCAAGATTTAATAAAACCCTCTTAAAAAAACTGATGGCCTCATAAAGTAGCAGTGAAACATGCAGAAATCGCATTTTTCATACAGTTAGGGTATACCATCAGTTTAACTGAGCAAATCCATACACGAAAACCCATGTAGCTTTAAAACATCCACAGCGCATGCTGTCGGCTCTCATCACCCTACATCTAAGTGTTGTATCCTGCAGCATCCCATCCACCAGAGCAGAGTCAGCGCAGACGGTAATGTCTCCCAGAACTGTTGAGTGAGTTGAGGGCTATGCATGGGCAGGTGGCCAAGTAGGTGATGCTCAGATTGGGGCAGCCACAGAGTCCTGGTCCCGTGTCCCAGCAGTGGGTAGAAAACACCCTGAATTCCAGACACAATAGTCAAGGTCCTGTATTTATGAGCAGTGAGACAACCTTTTCATAGTGCTGGCTTCTTATTCAGGTCAGATATTTTCAGGATGTTCACCATTTCCTTGTTGAAAGTAAAATGTGAGTAGAAAAAACCCTAATCTTACAACCTTTGATAACTTAACTCTCCGTAATTATACTGGAGTTTCTGGTTTTGTTTTTTTTTTCCTTTAAAATGTTAAGGCAGGACTAGTACTGTAGCTCTTGTCCTCTTTGTCTCCTTATCTCTAAGCTTTATGCACATTCTGAGATACAGAGATCTGTTAGTAAAACAAAAAGTTGCCACAGGAATTTTAAATTTATTCAGCATTTGGGTTTGTTGGTTTTTTTTCAACAACAAAAAAGAAAAAATAAAGAATATTTATACATTCAATATTTCTTGCCTTTGCCCTGGTATTCCACCTCTACCTTTTTTTCACGATGCACTCTGAAGAGAGGGGGAAAGAGCTGCACTACAGAATAAGAGGTCATTAGTATCTTTGGCTCTTCCTAATCTGAAATTTTAAATGGTTTTATTACTTTTATGGAGAAAATTTGCATTTTTCCCCCTGAAACATCCTATTCTACAGCATTCTATTCCACAGGGTTGTACACTTTTACACTGGAAGTCTGACTTGGTTGTTCCCAACAGTATCTTTCTAGTAGCTCTTGCCTTAAGAAAAAGTTGTTAGAGTTTCAGCCCAAATATCTTTAAGCAAGTCAAAAATGTTTATGAAATTAGATAAATTCAAGTATTTCTGGAAAGAGGAAAAACACTAAAAAATTTAACAAGTAATAATTGCACAATCTCTTTGACTGGTATGACAAGGCATTGACCATTAGTTCTTTGTGTTTCTAAATTACTGCCATGTTGGAAATTGGATCTGACTCTCCATATCCTGAGACTGGCAAAAGGCAGAATACAGCACCATCATTTGATTTCAGTCAACTTTACTTAATCACTGAATGCCTGCTGTATCCCTTCTATGTCCTTCTGAAAGACTGTACAAATGGGAGATACAGATGGAATGATATATGTGGAATTATGGGTTTGGAATAAAACATAAAATCTTGCTGTTTAGACAAACTCCTCTCTGAAGGCAGAGATACTTTAAAATAGTCTATGGTCCATTGTACAACAGTAACAATGGTTCTGAGGCATGAAGGGGGATCTAAACCTAAATGCTCCCAAAGCTTAAAGCTCTTAACATACAGCATTTTGGATCAAAACTAATGCTACAACAGAAAATTGCTTTTGTTCTTAATCTTGTGATTTCTGATCAGATCCAGCTCTAAACACATGCAGCTGAAGGAGCAGTCAGCCCTTGAAGGAGCGTATTCCTGGTTTGAAACCGCACGGACACTCACATGTATTGTGCTTTCTTAACAACTGCTCTGTTGCTTTTACTATCACATACATTTAATAAAATTGCTTTTTAGCATAAGCTGCATGTTGATTTTACAAAGAGCCCTAAATTCATTAAAGGTTTCCTTGCTAGTCAACTGATGTGTTTCACCAGTGATTTTGATTACAGATCTCAGAGCCAGCAGGGAAGCGGTTTCAGCCCTGTGGGTATTGACTAGATAGGTGAAGGAAAGCTCTCACACCGAGTTTTCATATATTGTTAATAATATAATCTAGAAAATATTAACCATAATACCATATATGTTCTAAATGCATTGTAAAGCAAAAGTTAAACCTTTCTATGATTGGTTTCCTCTAGACTACAACCAAAGCTATTTGAATGCTTTAGGATTTGACCCTCCTGTCTGCAGTGGAGGCTTTTTTCCCCAGCCCAGAAAAGCACAGATTTAAAACACTTAAGGTGGTTCTTTACTTTGGTGCAGAGCTTAAAGAGGATCAGTGGAGGAACAAAAAAATGTGAGTACTACGAGGAAAATCTGCAAATCAAAAATCCGTAGCCGACAACACCACAATCACTTAATATATGGCAATATATCAGCAAGGAGAATAATGTCCCGGAAACCTCCATGTTTAAAAATTGAGAAATAAAATTGAGAAACAAAGAGATCTGCACTGATAAAGTTACAGAAGTGGTGATTCAGGAAGCAAACCTGTGCAGGAGTGGAGGCAGGACTTCCAAAATACAGGGGCAGAGCAGGCAAGCTACTTGTTTTCCTCCTGAATTCTCTGCAACAGGATTTCCTCATCACACCATGTGGAGCCATGTAAATATGCCCCCTTTGGCTATGTGACAGGAATCATTTCCTCCACTGTGCTTGTGGGGAAGGAAAGCAAAAAAAGAGAGGTCAGGATCTTGGGGATTTGTATTAGCAGATAGCACTTAGTCAGGAAAGGGATAAAGATTACAGGGGAAGTGGTGCTATTGGTCTGTAATCCTTTTCTGTCACACATACTTTTAATATTAATCATAAGAAACATATATAAAAAATTAAGCTTTATCATTCCCCACTTTCAATTTGTAATCTATGCTTAATGCAGGGCATAAAGATTTCAAAATATACCTAGAAGAAGCCCACAAGCTGAAATTTTATTACCATCCAGAAATGTGAAAGTAAAAAATTACCTGCCCAAGTTTTCAAATGTTTCTGTGCATATCTCCACCCCAAAGAAAGAAACATGGGAAAACAGGTGTTTAAAATCATGGGAACTGTATTGGCATATTCTTAGCTGTGGTCTCTGTGCTCTCACGTACTTAAATGCTGAATTATAGCTTAGATTAGATAGTCTACCTTCAGTATTACTTCACATGGTACCACACAACCAAGCAGAGTTAAAATGGTATGACTATGTGCCTAGGGCATTTTTTCCCTTTCTGAACTGAAAGTTCAAGACATCCGTTTTTAGCAGCCTAAGAATCATGGACCTTGACTAAATGAAAGCAAGGCAACAGCTGTGCTGGAATCCTTTATGTGCTGTAACCCCATTCACATGAACGCAGTTTTGACAGTTCAAAGGCTTAAGCTTTCTTAACAAGAAAGTGGAAAGACTGCTCCAGTATAAAAGGATCCAATATATCTACATCCACACTAGGGACTGCATCCCCAGCAAAAAAATCGCACGGCAAGCAAAGCTTTAACCTAGAAGAAGCACATCAGGTTCCTTCACCGTCTGTTTGCAGGAGGTGCTGTGATTTTTCTTGATAACACTTCCGTGTATATCTCAGTACTCCAGCAGAGCTGGGACCCTAATCCATGCCTAACATAGTCACACAGAAAAAGCCCAGCCTCCTTCAGCAGAGCCATGCCTAAGCATGTGAAGGACTTGGCAGTCCTGGGGGAAAGGTCGGA